TGTAGAAATTTAATGTATAAAGAGAAATAGAGAATTGTATTATTGATTGATTTATGTTATTTGGCTAATTGGCTAAAATAGCCTCTTGCCAAACGAGGCCTTAAATAAGATGATGTGACTTAAATAGGATAGTGACTTTTTGACTTTTTGTCTTTTTTCAATCATGCCAAACTTGGCCTAAAGACGGACATGAAGCACAGGTACAGTAGAATACGGGTACATCAATATGATAAAATCCAAAAAAAATAAGATACGGATACGGCTTGGTACGTTTATAAAAAAAATATTTATTTTTAATTTGGAGCTAAAGTGATAATGATGAATCCATAATATTATTGTGTGCAATGAAGTATCAACAAAGTACCCACCCAACCAAAAAAAAAAAGAAAGTATCAACAAAGAATCAAGTAGTGAAATTGTATCCTTGTAACATTAACTAGAAACGCTTTAAGCTAAAAACAAATCACGCAAGGCACTGTTACAAGCATGGTGGATCTCCAATTTGCAATTTAAATCTTATAAAACGATTATGATTGCACATACAAATTACTATTTCAAACACATTTGAAATAAAAATTAAAAAAAATAATAAATTAATTTAAATTATTTGTCTTTTTTTAAATAAAACAAAAAATTGTATTTAACTCATGATTTCAAAATAGTATTTAACTCAACAACAATTACTATGGTTGATTTCAATTTTCTAAATTCAATTTTTTAAAAATTTAATTTTTTATTTTTTGTATTTTTTTTTAATGAATAGTTTTAAAATTTTAAATAATTTTTTTACTTTTTTAGATACATCTTACTTAGATATATTTAAAAAGTAAAATATTTATAAAAAATATTTTAAAAAATAAATAAATACTCAAGAATGTGAAAAATGTAATGAATTCTCCTTCTTCTTTATTGTATTTTTGGTATTTAATGAATTTTTAAATATTTTTTTCACAAATATTATACTTTTTAGGGAAAATTATTGGAAAATCCCATTTGGGAGGGTTTTGGATCGTGAGATCCTTCTTTATTTTTAATACTCTTGGAAGTCCTATTTTGTTGGTAATGTTATCCGAAAGATCCCATTTGGCTTATTTGGGGTGGATTATGTGGCTGGTTTGCCCTTGGTTCTGTGTGGTAACTTATTTGTCTGGTATGGCAATCCCATTAATTACGATTCTGTTTTGTGAAAAGACAATTTGTGGGGAGCAGGCTTCTGTGTGTGTTTGAAGTATATGTGCGTGTTGTAATGTTCAAACACAACCACATTATACCATCCCCAAAACAGAAAAAAAAAGTTCAAACACAATCACACTTCCAAACCCATCCCAATCCCCAACATCATACCTCCTCTCCTCATTCACCACACCCCACACCATCACCCAGATACATATACTCATCGTTCTCGGCATCATCATCAGATTAAGGGTGTTCACACCTTCACACAGCAACACTAGCAGAACTATTCCTTTCTAATCACCGTGGGTTATGAAACCGCTCATATTACCATTCACCGCCAACTGAATCCCTGCAAATCCGGAAACAAATTGAGAACAAATCTCCAAATTTGGGTCGCCTATGTGGTTTCCATACCAATACTCACATATGAGATTTCAAACCAAATCAACTACGATATTTTACAATCTATATTATATTTTTGGGAAATTAGGTTAGTGTGGGGAATTATCTTCCTATTCAGATCTTGGTTCTGATTAGATTTGGCATAGGTGCATGTACGGTCGAGATCCATGGGGAGGTCCACTGGAGATCAATGTTGCGGACTCTGCTACCGACGACGACCGCAGCAGGAACCTTAACATCCATTGTTGAAAATGTCAAGCTTCTGCTCGGAGTCCGCCACCAACGGCCACAACTCCCACACCTTCTCGATTTGTGAAGTGGGATACAGAGACAAGTCTGTTTTGCGATTCTCAACCACTGTAACTAGATATCTGGAGAAAGAGAAACTATCTGATATAGAGGGGATGAAGACAAAGGTGATGATTTGGGTGAAAGTTACGTGTATTTCAGCTGATGGATGAAAACTCCATTTCACCGCAGGAATAAACAAAACCAGAGGCTGAAAAGTCGCAGAAAAGAATCTCTATCTCGATCTCTGTTTGATTTTCCCAGCAATCTTTGCTCAATCTAGAGAGAGATACACTATACATACACATATACTCTTCAAGAAAAAATGTTTAGAGAGAGAGTATGGCGTGTGAAGTGGGATGGTGAACAGTGCGTTGCACACTGTTTCTGTGATGTGGAGGGGGCTGGGGGACTATCGCTTGGCTTTGGTGTGGAACTCGCGATATGGGGGGGTTGTCGCTTGGCTTTGGTGTGGAATGTGTTCATCGATCATCCAACGACGGGAAGACTTTTTCATCGTCACTCATTACCTGTTCCGGTGTGGTTTGCTAGTCTGTATGTTTGATTACCAATGGGGCCTTGCGTTATGATGTGGGCGACCCAAATGTGGTTCGCGAAATTGAAGTGGGCCATCAACTTCTATTTGATCAACTTGATGTGGTCCACCAAGTTGTGTTTTCTTCAAAAAAAAAAAAATGGGTTGTCTTCAAATGTGGGCTTCAAGAAATGATGTGGGCCACCACTGTGTGGGTCATCAAAAACGTGGACACCTCTACATACGCTACTAAACTCTAAAAAAGTTATAATAAGTTTTTCCCAAACGTCACATACACCCACATCAATCAAACATAGTATCACTAAACCAAAAACAATACATTCATGGGTAAAACTGTCCACCCCCAAATAATGGGATCTTTGGGTGTACAAAATAAAATATGGGACTAATTAGATTACAATTCTACCTTTTAGGATTTATGGGTCAATTCCCCTACTTTTTAAGTATATTTATGTTAGGTGTATTTAGAAATTAAAAAAAATGCTTAGAATATTTACAAAAATCAGTGAAAATAAAAAAAATATATGAAAAAAAAATAAATTAATTTTTTGAAAAATAAATCCTGAAAAATCAAACAAAATAAGCTTAATGGTATTTTAGATATTTTTATGTACATTTACATTGAGTTTAATTATTAAATTTTTTTTATCAATTTTAATTAACGAAATAGGCAAGTAGTTTAGAAAACAAATCAAAAAATTAAGATTTAAATTGAAAAATTAAAATATTTAGATTTATTTTGTTACAATGGTCAAATTGTAATTTTTAATTTTTTATATTTTCACCAAAAATCAACTTCAAGCACCACAAATCACAAACATCTAAAAGAATTGTGTCTCATTTGTGATTGATTTTTGTAAAAAAAACAAATCAAAAAATTAAGATTTAAATTGAAAAAATTAAAATATTTAGATTATTTTGTTACAATGGTCAAATTGTAATTTTTAATTTTTTATATTTTCACCAAAAATCAACTTCAAGCACCACAAATCACAAACATCTAATAGAATTGTGTCTCATTTGTGATTGATTTTTGTAAAAAAAAAAAATTGAATAAAATATATTTTTCAATACACAATAATAAACCACAATACTAAGAACCTAAACTTAATTACTCATAAATTATTTAAAATTATTGTTTTTTTATTTAGATTTATTCTACATATAAATCTCACACTACACAAATTTAATCTGCATCATACAATCACACACCCAGAAAAGCTAGATAGATAAGTCAGGATTCCCATACTTGTTCCAATAAACTAAAAGCATTTTACTATGACCTATTTTAGGTAAACAAAAAATAAGCAGCTAGGGTGTCGTTTGGGAATGGCTCATTTGGGCTCTTTTGACTCTTTGAGCCACAAAAGACAGAATAGGCTATTTGAGCCACAACAAACAAAACATCACATCCAACTCATAATCATTATACTCTTCTCTCACAAAAAAAGTCAAAAAAGTCAAAAAGCCAAAAAATCATTCCCAAACCAAGCTTTTGAGCCCATGCTCAAATAGTAAAAAAAACCAAAAAGTCAAAAAGCCAACCCACTTCCCAAACGGTCATCTCTTTCTTTTTTTTATACATATTTCCATAATAAATAAAAAAAATCAAATAATAAGTCATACTCAAAACAAACTTAACTATTAAACACCCTCAAACTATTGTCACTATTGTTACTGTTTTCGCTGCCATCCACTATCACGACCATTCTATCAGCACCACCATTGCCCTTAGCGTCCTACTACCATATGGGTCTTTCTTTGTATTTCTTCATAATAAATAGAGAGCAATGTTGTGTAGCTTGAATTTGAACTTGTCTGAATGACTCGAATTTTATATTGTCGATTATCTAACGAAAAGGCCGACAGTCGTGGTCAACAAAGTGACAATCACGATAAAAAAGTGTTTTACCTGATTGTCTAAATTGTCGTCGAAAAGGTCAACCAATAAACATAAATTTAGACCATTCAAAACAACTCAATTCAAGCTACCAAAGATTTATGATAAATGGATGAAGATTATGCAGTTATTCTTCTTTTTCTTTTTTTTTAATATTTGCTTCTATAAAAGTGTTTTCCATGTCGATTTGAGGCGTCATTTGTCCACTATTGAACCATTTTGCATTATTGATTGGTGGCCCATATTTCACATTAAATTGCTAGCCCATGTTGCTGCCCGATGTATCAAAAAAAACAAAAAACAAAAAAACAAAAAACGAGTCACATTAATAATTTAAATTATTTATTTTATAAGTCTTATATATGAATCATTTATTAATTTTATTTAAATTATTTATTTTATAAGTCTTATATATGAATCATTTATTAATTTTATTTAATAATCATAGTTCTAGTTTATTTATA